CTCCTCCTCCTCCTGTGTCGCACCTCTCCTCCTCCTCCTGTGTCGCACCTCTCCTCCTCCTCCTCCTCCTGTGTCGCACCTCTCCTCCTTCCTCCTATTTGTGTCACACTTCTCCCCTCCCTATCGCACCTCTCCTCCACCTGTGTCGCACCTTTCCTCCTCCTCCTTTTATTATTCCTCTTCTCCTATTTCCTGTACCATGTCTCTACTCCTCCTCTCCTGTGCCTCTTCCTCTTCTGTCATCTGTGTCACGCCTCTGTTCATGTCTCTCCCGTGTCACGCCTCTGTTCATGTCTCTCCCGTGTCACGCCTCTGTTCATGTCTCTCCCGTGTCACGCCTCTGTTCATGTCTCTCCCGTGTCACGCCTCTCCTCTTCTGTGTCACGCCTCTGTTCATGTCTCTCCCGTGTCACGCCTCTCCTCTCATTTAAAGGTGTCAGAGACCTGTGTGGCCACAGTGGGACGCGTGTCCAATGTAGATCATAACAAGCGAATCATCGGCAAGGCGGGGCGGAACCGCTGGCTGGGAATCAGACCTTCTAGTGGACTCTGGAAGAGGAAGGGAGGCTGGGCAGGAAGGAAGATCAAGCCTCTGCCACCAATAAAGAGTTATGTGAAATGACCAAGTTCCCGCTCGGTGCTGCAGATTTAGCCCCTCCTCCCTCTTCTCCAACGTTAGCTTTCAGTGGGAGCTCAGCTGCCCCGGAGGACAAGCAACCTGTATTCCTGATTCTTTTTCTTGTTAGAGCTCTGGGACACTTCTATGGAACTCTTAAGAAGACTGACAGCCGACACCTACAAATCATCTCTATAGTGTATGCAAAGCCATTTACAGAGGGAAGGGAATGGCTAAAACCCTGCTAAGTGTTCATTTGTTTTCTACTCTCTGTGTCCCCTTGCAGAGATTTTTATTCACTTCTTCCTGTTGTGTCTTGAGACAGGAAGTGAATGAATATCTCTCCAAAGTGAGGAAAATCTCCTCTTAGTTATCACAGGAACAGGTGTCCACGTTGGAAGATTTCTCCTCTATTTCTGATGTGGTGACAATTCTAAAATGGTGACCAAGGCAGAGTGAGTGAGTCCACCCAAGACGGACACAGACCAATAAAAACCTGACGGGAAAAGATTTGGCTTTACGTAGATTTTTATCATAATGAGAAGTTCTCCTGGACAGAGACCAGAAGACAAACGAAAGAAATAAAATGGCAGAATAAAAATACAACTTTCTAGTAAGTGTCTGTTAATGTTAAGCTCTGTATTTGTGTACGAGTCCTCCGGCTGCTGCGAGAAGGGACTGGCAGAGCTCTTCTCTCTATGGTATGCACCTCCTGCTACTGCGAGAAGGGACTGGCAGAGCTCTTCTCTCTATGGTATGCACCTCTAGCTGCTCCGAGAAGGGACTGGCAGAGCTCTTCACTCTATGGTATGGCCTTCCGGCTGCTCAGAGAAGGGACGGGCAGTGCTCTTCACTCTATGGTATGGACCTCCAGCTGCTCAGAAGGGACTGGCAGAGCTCTTCTCTCTATGGTATGCACCTCCGGCTGCTCGGAGAACGGACTGGCAGAGCTCTTCTCTCTATGGTATGCACCTCCTGCTACTGCGAGAAGGGACTGGCAGAGCTCTTCTCTCTATGGTATGCACCTCTAGCTGCTCCGAGAAGGGACTGGCAGAGCTCTTCCCTTTATGGTATGGACCTCCAGCTGCTCAGAACGGACTTGCAGAGCTTTTCACTCTATGGTATGCACCTCCGGCTGCTGCGAGAAGGGACTGGCAGAGCTCTTCTCTCTATGGTATGCACCTCCGGCTGCTCAGAGAAGGGACTGGCAGAGCTCTTCTCTCTATGGTATGCACCTCCGGCTGCTCAGAGAAGGGACTGGCAGAGCTCTTCTCTCTATGGTATGCACCTCCGGCTGCTCAGAGAAGGGACTGGCAGAGCTCTTCTTTCTATGGTATGCACCTCCGGCTGCTTTGAGAGGGACTGGCAGAGCTCTCCCCTAAGGGTTAGTTCACACCAGAAACTGCATCACAACTGCGTGTGTCTGCGCAGTTGCATTGCGATCCGTTTTGATGCGTTTTTTCCCCCTGGATGATGCCACAATCAATTCTGGTTTTTTTTATGCGTTCCGGTGCAGTTAGATGCAGCTAAAATAGGACAAGTAGTACTTTTTCTGACTGCAGTGGTGTGAATACAGCACGAGAAAGCCCATAGGACAGCATTGCGATGTATTTTGGCCGCAGCAGAACGGACTGCATCTGGTGTGAACTAGCCCTTAAAGTGGCCAAAAAAAAAAAAGCATGAACTGCAAGGAAGCCCAGGGAGAGTATTCTAGGGACGAAGGGCACCTTTAAAAATACACTTACCTGTATGACCAAGGTGACAGGGTCTCTTTAAAGTGAACCTGTACCTCCACCACTGGCTGCTGTAGAGGCCTGCCCCCTCCCCGTACAGTGGTAAAACCCTACCCCCTCTCTGTACAGTGGTACAACCCTGCCCCCTCCTCGTCTCTGTACAGTGGTACAACCCTGCCCCCTCTATGTACAGTGGTACAACCCTGCCCCCTCCCCATCTATGTACAGTGGTACAACCGTGGCCCCTCCTCATCTCGGTACAGTGGTACAACCCTGCCCCCTCCCCGTACAGTGGTGCAACCCTGCCCCCTCCCCGTCTCTGTACAGTGGTGCAACCCTGCCCACTCCCGTACAGTGGTACAACCCTGCCCCTTGCTCATCTCTGTACAGTGGAAGAACCCTGCCCCCTCCCCATCTCTGTACAGTGGTAGAACCCTGCCCCTCCCCATCTCTGTACAGTGGTAGAACCCTGCCCCCTCTCTGTACAGTTGATGGTTCAATCACATTGAAAGCTCTGTACAACCTGATTGCACAATCCTCATGAATACACATGGGGAGATCACACAGTACAATGAGGGGGTCACCGTCAGATGGGGCAGAGAAGATCACATGTACACCAATCCGGCTTTAACTTCCACAGACAGAGACTTAACGTGATTGGCTTTTAATGTGCCCACAGTTCAGTTCGCAAAGGTCCGCCCACAAGTCCGGCCAATCACCACTGCGCAGAAAGCAAGGCTGTGAGGTCTCCACCCCTTAGCCTCATTATGCGAGAAGGGTCAGGCTGTGATTGGCTGCACTGCGTTGCGACGACTCGGTTCCTCCCCGGAATTTCCCTGACTCCTCCCCCACATACTGTATAGCCCCTTATTAAGTAGCCCACCCCAGCGCTGCGTGTCATCCGGTCACATGGACGAGGCCGGCAGTGACGTACCCGGAAAGCCCGATAAAGAAGTGACGACAGGGGGCGCCTCAAAATCGGTGAGTCGATGAATGGGATGTGACGTCACAGGTGCTTGCGTTTCGGACGACAACCGGTGTCTAAATGTGTGCCTTTGCATGCTGCAGATATTCCGCCGGAAGGTTGGTGTACACGAGCAGATCACCGACACCATGCATCCTGCGCCTCCTCTATAGCGTGGCTCCACCCACATACAGTACTCCTCCAATATAGTGCTCCTCTTCCACTGTCTGACCCAACCCACATACTCCTTCCCCCTTCCATTGTTTCTACCAACCCCCAGACAATGCTCCTCCCCATTGTCTGACCACACCTCCACACACTGCCCCTCCCACATAGTCTGACCCCACCTCCACACAGGTTTCCACATTCTCTGACCACACTGCCACTCCCCCATAGTCTGATCCCACCCCCATGCAATGTTCCTCCCAATTGTCCCACAACTGCATTTATTGCTCCTCCCCATAGTCTGACCACACCTCCATACACTGCCACTCCCCCATTGCCTGACCACACCCCCAGACAATGCTCCTCCCCATTGTCTGACCACACCCACATACACTGTCACTCCCCCATACAATGCCCCTCCCTATTGTCTGACCATACCTACCCTTATACACTGCTCATCCCCCATTGCCTGACCCCACCCTTATACACTGCTCCTCCCCCATTGTCTGACCCAACCCTTACACGCTGCTCCTCCCCCATTGTCTGACCCCACCCTTTAAAACATGCTCCTCCCCCATTGTCCCCCTACCTTCATAGTTTAGGAGGCAGACTCTGTGAGAGTGGTGACACAAGGGAGTGCGTATTCACAGGGCTGAGGGAAATTGTGTCACCACACTGAGGGTCAGTTCGCTTGGCACAGCAGTCACTCAAAGAACTCCTAGTATTTTTTATCAATGAATACGAGGTGCTCTCTGATTGGATGAGGGGCTGCTATGTCACAATCCACCCCTCATCCAATCAGAACACCTTTAGGTTCATTGCTAAAACTACAAGGCGTTCCCAGAATGGTCGATGTGCCGAGTGAACGACCCCCATAGCAAGGCGCCATACAGGGCCCGGAGGATGGTGACCAGATCTTTAGGAGCTCCGGCTACTATAGTGCTATACAGGATTCCCATTGGCCGACCAGGTATATCATATGAAGATTTGGGACTTATAGCGGGCCAAACTGGACAGAGGGACATATAGCGGGCCAAGCTGGACAGTGGGACATGCAGCGGGCCAAGCTGGACAGAGGGACATGCAGCGGGCCAAGCTGGACAGTGGGACATATAGCGGGCCAAGCTGGACAGTGGGACATATAGCGGGCCAAGCTGGACAGAGGGACATATAGCGGGCCAAGCTGGACAGTGGGACATATAGCGGGCCAAGCTGGACAGTGGGACATATAGCGGGCCAAGCTGGACAGTGGGACATATAGCGGGCCAAGCTGGACAGAGGGATATATAGCGGGCCAAGCTGGGCAGTGGGACATGTAGCGGGCCAAGCTGGACAGTGGGACATATAGCGGGCCAAGCTGGACAGAGGGATATATAGCGGGCCAAGCTATATATCCATGTAGCGGGCCAAGCTGGACAGTGGGACATGTAGCGGGCCAAGCTGGACAGTGGGACATGTAGCAGGAGCTGCCACAATATGTGTCTGGAGTTCTGCTTTAATATGCTGGAGGTATTTAAGGTTCCCGAACTTCTTCCACATGTCCCACCAATAATGACATCAGACCAATGGAAAAAGTGTATGGGGGGGAAGGGGGGGGGGGCGGAGGGTACGACGGGCCATCACACCCATAAGTGATAAAAGAAGATCAGATTGACCAGAACTCACCGCAGTCCATATCTTCTGCCATTATTATCTTCAGATGATCTTAAGGTCCTCCTCTGGGCAAACCGAAAACCTTCCCTGGGGCTATCTCCGCGCTGCAAGAGTTAACTGCTCAATAATGTCTAGAGGAGCCGTGTGAGGGACTTTTACTTATCTGATCCCCGCACTGGCTCCAAGACTCTTCTTCCCTACAATCTGGTGGTCGGAGGTCCACTGACGTCATCACGTCTACTGCAAGACCCATAGACCTGCATTAGACGTCAGGACGCCTACGGATAGTCAACAAGCCAAGCTCGTGGTAAGGGGCTGACTGCCGGGGGAGTGGGGATCAGGTACGTAAGCCTGCTTTAAAGAATCCCCTAGACATAAATGAGCACTTAACCCATGTGGTGTGGAGGTAGCCTCACTGCAAGGGAAGGGGGGGAGGGGGTGGTTTGTATGACTGGAGATTGGCTTTTACACAGCGCCCAACTACCTCCATGTCTTATCACTTGTCTGTTACAATGAGGAGCCATGGAGGAGCTGGGCTGTTGAGGAACATCGGTGGTACTGAAGGCAAACCAACCACTGCTTTCTATTGTCTTCTTCTTTCTCTCAGGTTTCCACCATGTTGGTGGGGGAGAGGAGGAATGGCAACCTTCTGGTACAGCTGGATCCTAAGCTGCAGGCCCAGCCGGTGGAGTTGTTGCGGCAGCGGTTGAGCCCCGATGGACTCACCGAGTATCTGATCCGTTGGGCGTTGCAGAATGTGGAGGAAGCGGCGGGGAATAGCGGAACCGCCTCGCAGACGGAGAGCAAGTCCCCGAATATCCTGATGTGGATGTCGGCAAAGGAGGTCTACACCAACTGCCCCACCCTGCTGGGCAAACGCAAATCTGAGGGGCCGGGCACCGCAGAAGAAAAGACTTCCGGTTCTCCTGATGAGGGGGCTCTGCAGGAGATGACCGAAGATGTTCGGATGCTGGTTCAGAGAGCTGCCAGGCAGATGTCCCAGCGCTCCGGCCCAGACTCCTCCATCCTCAACACCATTCATGTGCTCAGTGCCTATGCCACCATTGGCTCTCTGGCTGAAGTCTTCAAGGAGACGGGGGCTCTGGACCTTCTCATGAAGATGCTCTGCCATCCCGAGAAGCAGATTCGTAAGAACGCCGGCAAGATGTTGCGCGCCCTGGCATCACATGATGAAGGTGGGACTTCATTTTCAAAGATTACTCGATACCGAGTATTTGGGCGAGTATTCATACTCGCCCAGATGCTCCAATACCGGAACTTCCAGTCATAGGAAGATTTCCTCTGTCGGCAGTGCCGTAGGGGAACATAGAGCTGGCTTCCTGGGCAATCAGGAAGTCGGGTGGCAAGTAATGACCCGCCTCCTGGCTTCCTGATTGACTGGAAGCCGGCTTCCCGGTCAATCAGCATTGAGCTGGCCAAACAGCCAGGTTGATGCTGACTTGGCTGGGAAGCCAGCTTTGGCTTCCCAGCCAATCAGGAAGCCTGGAGGCTGGTCATTACTCACCGCCCGACTTCCTGATTGACCAGGAAGCCGGCACCATGGTGATTGGCTGTGAAGCCGGATAGGGCCACCCACTGAGCAAATTGTGGCCTGTTCATCAAAAATTGGCCAAAATCTGCTCCATGTATACCCAGCTTTAGTCTGCTTTAGACCGATTTCAAAACTTCAAGTAGGCAGGTACCAGGCCGTAGCAATCATCTGCCTGGAAGCTGTATATATGAAGTAGTCTAGAAATGGGTTTGTTGAGCAATACTTCATAAAGGTCCTCGGCGGGGCTGGAGTCTTCAAGGAGACGGGGGCTCTGGACCTGCTCATGGAGATGCTCTGCAATCCCCAGAAGCAGATTCACAAGAATGCCGGCAGAATGTTAGGAAGCTCTGGCATCACACGATGAAGGCGGAACCTCTTCATTATTGATTGGATCGAGGAGGGCGATGGTTGCTCTAAGTTGGGGATGGACACATGCCAGGAGTCAGATAGCCAGTGCTCCTTACAAATTACAGCGCCCAACTTTTGAGTTTTTCCCTAGTTCTTCTTCAGTTTTTTTGGAGCTGTTGGCTCCTGGTTTGAACAGACTGGACCCTGAATTCCATAATGATTCGTCCACCCCTGGTCTTCGTGGATGTTAGTGTGGTGGGCTTTCAGTGCTTCAATGGTCTATGATGGATATGTATCAATGGTATTACGGTTTGCAGGGATTTGGACCTCCCCCTGCAGCTCATGATTGGCATTGATGGCGTTATGTTTTGCAGGGAGTCGGGCCCACGTACTTCTCTCGATCAGTCAGCAGGATGGGATAGAACAACACATGGATTTTGAGTCTCGCTACATGTTGTTGCAGCTCTTTGCTGAGACCACCAGCTCAGAAGAACATTGCATCTCCTTCGAAGGGATACACTTCCCTCAAGTAAGTGCTACAGATGTTCACCTAGATCAGGGGTAGGTCCGGCCCTCCAGCTGTGGTGAAGCTACAAGTCCAGTCATGCATTTGCCTCTTGGAGTCATCCCTGTGGCTGTCAGTCTTGCAATGCCTTATGGGATGGGTTTCCTCAACAGCTGAGGGGCTTGAGTTTGCCTACCCCTGACCTAGATGATGATGTATTGACAGGGATTCTCATTATTGGCTTGCAGTCGGTATAGCAAAATTGCCATCTGTGTTAATTTTTACTTTTTTCTGGTGGCAGGTTCCGGGGAAGCAGCTCTTCTCGTTGGTGAAACGTTACTTGTGCGTCACATCTCTGCTGGACCAGCTGAACAGCGACCGGCCGGATCGCGATGAGATGTCCCGGCTGCAGTGCCAGTTCAATTTCAGCATGGCCATGGGTGGCCTGATCTGTGAGCTGGTGCGGGTGATGGGCTGGGCCTCAGAGACGCCCTCTAGAGGTTGGAAAGAGGATGGCACTCAATCTTCTTTCTTTAGAAAAGCCTTCCCTCCGTGGCAGAGAGTCTCCCACCGAAAACCCCGATTCAAGGTCCGATCAGATTTCTCCTGCAGAAGTGATTACATGGAGTACATGAAGCGGGTATTGCTCCCTGGCATGTCCGTACAGATGGTGGAGGACTATGAGCTGCTAAAAGTTGGGGATGAGGGAGTCTTCATGCAGAGCATTAAGGAACTTCTTCATGTAGAGGTACAGACATATGGGGGGATCTGTTGGTTTAATCACTTTTTTTGCAGGACATGTGTCTGCTCCATAAACACAAAAAAGAAAACTTGCCGCACTCCTTACCGGGACTCCCCAAAAAAAGATGGGTGCTCGAAATGACTGCGGATGGCGCCGCCACACGTAGACAAAAAAGACGTCACCAGCACTCCAACAACGATAATAACAGCAATGAGATGCTCATTTATTGACAGATGCCGTCTCTCATTGGCAAGCGCTTTCAGGGCCACACAGAGTCCCCTTCGTCATCTCTGAGCCTGACGAAGGGAACCCTGTGTGGCCCCGAAAGCGCTTGCCAATGAGAGACAGGATCTGTCAATAAATCAGCATCTCATTGCTGTTATTATCGTTGTTGGAGTGCCGGTGACGTCTTTCTTTTTGCTCCATGAACACTGTGCGGGGTATTGGGGTGACACCGTTAAACTGAATAAATTGTATATGGCGATTGGGGTGTGGGTAGGGTTTGCAAGATGTCAGTATTGCTTACTCTGTCTCTCTATCTATCTATCTCTGGCCATGCTTTGAGCAGTATGAATTGTGCCCTCTATAGGTATACTGGCACAGACTGGGGAACACACAACCTGTAGACTGGTCCATGGTGGAGATAAAGAAACACAGTGAGTACATGATGGATAATGATAAGAAAGTCAGTGCAATTGTTGGACATGAGATCAAGGAGTCCCCTGAGGGTGCTTGGCAACTGACCAATAATGTCAAGTCTGCACTATTGACAGCTAGGGATGACATGTACATATCTGTGTGTGTCAAAGGGGGAGAGGGAGTTAGTGTCTGGTGTGTCAGAGGGGCAGAGGGAGTGAGCCTCTGGTGTGTCAAAGGGGGAGAGGGAGTTAGTGTCTGGTGTGTCAGAGGGGCAGAGGGAGTGAGCCTCTGGTGTGTCAGAGGGAGTGAGGTTCTGGGGTGTCAGAGGGGGAGAAGGAGTGAGCCTCTGGTGTGTCAGAGGGGGAGAGGGAGTGAGGATCTGGTGTGTCAGAGGGGGAGAGGGAGTGAGCCTCTGGTGTGTCAGAGGGGGAGAGGGAGTGAGGATCTGGGGTGTCAGAGGGGGAGAGGGAGTGAGGATCTGGTGTGTCAGAGGGGTAGAGGGAGTGAGGATCTGGGGTGTCAGAGGGTGAGAGGGAGTGAGGATCTGGTGTGTCAGAGGGTGAGAGGGAGTGAGAATCTGGTGTGTCAGAGGGTGAGAGGGAGTGAGGATCTGGTGTGTCAGAGGGGGAGAGGGAGTGAGGATCTGGTGTGTCAGAGGGGGAGAGGGAGTGAGGATCTGGTGTGTCAGAGGGTGAGAGGGAGTGAGGATCTGGTGTGTCAGAGGGGGAGAGGGAGTGAGGATCTGGTGTGTCAGAGGGGGAGAGGGAGTGAGGATCTGGTGTGTCAGAGGGGGAGAGGGAGTGAGGATCTGGTGTGTCGGAGGGGGAGAGGGAGTGAGGATGTGATGTGTCGGAGGGGGAGAGGGAACTGAGTGTCTGGTGTGTCAGAGGGGGAAGCAAATATCTCTGCTTATGTGCCTATCCAAGGTGGAGGGTGAGTTATTTCTCTAGTATTTGTATTGTCCACTTGGTACCAGCGCAGTATAAAACTAGAATCGGAGGAGGAGACCACTGTAGGTTGGCTGGAGTGAATCGGTGTGACCTGGGGACATCGGTGCATTCTTTCTGGCATATTCTTGTGATCTAGATTGAATATCTATTTTGTTCTCCTTCAGCTATTTCGGCTTTATCTCAAAGCTGCGCCTCCGTTCCCCCAAGTGGCAATGCTGGCACTATCAGACGGGATGAATGGTGGGAAATTCTCTTCTTTATCCAACAGCTGGAGGAGGAGGCTCAGAAGAGAGCGATAGAGATTACTGGAGGCTGCTCGGAGAAGGTCAGCTCATGTTGGTAGACGGGGAACCCTTGTATAATACTTCCCAGTCTGCGGGTTATATGGAGCTTCTTTGGTTTGTGTTCTCCTTCACCAGGAATAATTTTCTCATGGTTTTTGTTTCTTCTCCTGACCCAGGGCTGGCTGCCTCTTATCCAGATGTCAGTGTCTGTGGAAGGAGCGCAGGAAATTCTGGAGTTCATTGTAAAGAACTGTCCGGACCATCTTCTAAGCGACCTACAAAGCTCACATGTCTATAACAAGTTCTATGGAAAGGTGAAGCCTCATAATACAGCTGGTATGGGTGACAATGCCGCCCACACTGCCCCCTCCACCGGCATATCACAGGTGGGGGCAGAGGAAGGGGCCCATGCCGGATTCTCTGATCTGCAGAAACTGAACATGCTTCTTATGTTGGAGGGGTTGGAGCTTTCGGCGAAAGGAGAAGAGAAGATGACAGGTGAGGACAAACATGTACTCTCTGGCTTATTATCTTGGTGTGTGAGTATAGAACTCTCTATGGGGATGCAAACTCGGCTGAAGCAGTCAGCAGGAGATCAACTGCAGGTCAAATGCCCCAAACTGAATTAGGAAAGATCTCGGGAAGCTTCTCAAACTGTTGGGAAAACAATGCAAACCCATTGACACATATACTCCTGAAATAATTCCTAGGTCTACACATGCAGGTCATACGCCAGTACAGAATAGGTCAGTCTGTGTTATCTGTATGTACTGCATATACACCTGCAGGTCCTACGCCGGTACAGAGAGGAGCAATATGTGTTATCCATATGTCCAGATCCATATAAAGCGCTCAAAGGGATCTCAACAGATCTATCTACTTACTGGTGTACCCTTCCAATGACGTGACCCATCTCCAACGTCAGTGTGCACTGTACAATAGAGATGGTGAATACTGTCATACCTGTGAGTTGGAGCATGCTGTCCGTGTGCGCTGTGCTGTCCAGGTAGGGAATGCTGAGCTGTTCTGCTTAGCCTTTCTAGTCACCATTGGGGACCCTATTACAGCGTGACCTTTGATTTTTCCTGTAGGACTGATCAGTGACCACGATGCTGAGATAAAGAGATCCCTGGAAAGTTGTCGAGTTCTGTCACCTGGTGTCCGCCATGTTGGTTTGGAGCATGACTGGAAATCTGCTGATAGGAATCTGGTACAGGAAGGGGCCCGAGGAACCTCTGGGAATTCAGCACTCAGGTGCCTATTGTTGCTTTATGGTAAATATAGTGTGTGACTCCAGTCTGATGGGGGAACATAGGGTGAGAACTCTTTAGCTCACACTGGGTTCTCTGTCTCTGGACATCCATCTTCTGGAGTGCATTGCAATGTGTTGTGTTTGTGTGGGAATTAGTGACCAGGCTACCGTCCCCTTTGCATGAAGGACCCATCCTTTTTTTTTTGTCCATTGAGGTATGCAGATACAATTGGGTTATACTGGCCTACAGGAGAATCGGACAGTGGCACACAGAAAAATTGTAAGCCAGGTCAAGGATAACCCCTCTTCTACCCAGCATGCCTCAGCTTTTCGCTAGTGTCCTACGAGGATGGATGTTTTTTCCTACGAACATGGATGCAGTGTGTGCTACCCTAAATTTGGGGATCGGTCTGCTGTCCCCAGCCTCGGGTCTTTAGATCTACTACAGCTGCAAAGAGCTTTCGAAACACCCTGAAGATTGCAGTGCCCCCACAGAGAGTGTGTGTTGGTTCTGTTCCCCTTTGAGAGGGAACTTGGTAAATGGTGGTCTATATCCACTGGAGATCCATCAGTGACCCACATTACCAGGAAAACTACTAGACAGGAAGAAGACTTGCTTACGTTTAAGAATTCAACTGATTGGCAGCCTCCTTTAAATCCCAGAGTGAACTGGCAGGTTGTGTTCCATGTTGGCAGTGACCTTAATCTGTCAATCTGATGCAGAATGGGTTATTTCCTTTTAAAAAGGATTTCTCCACTGCCGGGGTAGACCTTTGTTTAATTGAGCGGAACAAATGTCTGGAGCCTTCTGCTTCAGTTGTGATTACTTGTTACAAGTTACAAACATCTAAGGTTATGTCCCACATGGGTCTGATGGCCATACTGATGTGCAGAACACTTTGGGTATGCTGCTGGGACATCAGTGTCATACCAACGAGCATCTGACTCACTTGGCTTTAGAGGTTTGTCGTCTCTTTGATATCTTGATAAGGGATGACACAGGAGGTCAGAGCATACTCCTGCTTCAATATAGGAGGCTCTAGGGAGATGTTTGAGGAATCCCACCCGCCTAGCTCCCAGACATTTTATAGGGCACAAAGTCCGAGGTCAGCTAACCTTTCTAAAGGCCTTCTTCATGAAGGTGTGTCCCTACTTCTACAAATGAAGAGCTGATTGCGCATCTTGCTGGGTCCTTGGGCAGTTTTCCTCTCTGGCATTCTGGTGCAGTGAGCACCACTTTAGGGCCATAGGCTAATCCCATGCCTCTTTTGCCTATTTCAGTTGCTTTTTATTAGCACAGAACAATGCACCTTTACTAGTCTCTCTGGGTTCCTCCTACCCCTGGACCCTATTCCCTTAACTCTGGAGCTCCTACCCCTGGACCCTATTCCCTTAACTCTGGAGCTGTGCCCCACCCGGGCCTCAACCCCCCTTCCTCAAGGGACATGACAAGCCTTTTACGCTACCCCTCAGTGCCCTTCCTTTCTAAGAGGGACTCCCTGACTTACCTCATCGACCAAGACCAACTTTGTACCCTACCTAGATAAGCACCTAGACCCTCAGTGTTTTCTCAAAGCATTGGCTCTTGTGTTCAGCCTAGTGCCTTTTCCTGGCATCCCTGTTGAAAAAATTCTCAGATGACCTCTTGTAAAGAGTCGGCTTCATTGATTCTTGTATTCAGCACTTCCTAACACCTGCAAGATCCAGCCAAATCAAGCTTCACCAGGTTCCATCGTTGGCAGCTATCTGTCACTGGTGGACAAGGTTGTCCAGCTTAAGTCCTCACTAAAAAGGTCCACAGGCTGTGTACTTCTTAGATCCCTTACCTTAGACAGGGAGTAAACCATTTTCCACCCTTACAGGAGTGTAGGGCATTGGGGGACCCCCTTTTATGATCGCCTCGCCTTTCCTTCCTGGCCCATGTCGGCTCCCTTTTTCTGTTGTCACTGGTCTGGGTACTGAACATGACAAAGGGGCTGTCTCTTTCGACTAGGTAGTCCCTGGTGGGAACTTCCACCCCCTTCAGGTGGCTGGGATAGTCTCTTCTCCCCGTCTATGGGGGACTTCTTTCATCAGATATCCTCTGGAGTCAATGCCTGGCTCTTCAGGACAAACAGTTCCTTTCCTGGTGAGGTCTTTTTCACCAGGAACTGTTTTTACCCTAGGTTCCATCTTGGGATTTGTTCCTTCTACGGATTGTCAGTTGACCACAGGAATTTGTCATTGATTAACCTGTCTTTGGTTGATCAGGATGGTTATTCCTTTCTAGCGGTATGTGCAGTTGTTCCCTCAAATAATAACCATCTATCTAGTTTGGGCTTCAGATTGACTCTGCCTATCTAATAGGATGCTTGACCTCTGGTTCAGGTTTGGGAGTTAGTACTTCAGGTGGCCTCTGGGCTGCAGGCAGTCCCCAGTTCTTCTTGGGTCTGTTAGCGGTTGTTGCTGTGCTGTCCACCCCTCAGTTGGACTGCTTTTGGACATCCCAACTGTACCTAACTTCCTGTGTACCTCCAAAAGATGAAAAATAATTCTTGTACTTGCCATACAATACTTTTATTGGAATCCATTAAGGGACACAGGTCCCACCTGTGTTATCCTGGGGCTGATATACAATTCTGTTTTCCGATGTCCAGTCTGATAGGTGGCAATATAACCCAACTGTATCTTGATTCTGGTGTCCCTCAAAAGACTCCAAGAACAATTTTTTTAAAATGATAAATCTTTGAATTTTTGCATGAATGTTTATCCTGTCTCTATTTGCTTTGGGGAAAACATGTCTGGATTTACTCTCCGAGTTTTTCCTGCAGTGAGAAGATGGTCGATATGTTGCTGGAACTTCTGACGTCGCAGGTAAAGGACAAGCTGCTGGTGGTGACGTGTCTGCAGTTGACGTACCTGGTCATGTCCAAGTATGACTGGCGCATCCTGTTTGCCACAGAGGGAGGGGTGAAAGCCGTTCTTGAGTGTATGCAGGAACATCAATCCTCTGCTGCCGTCCAGCATATAGGGCTTGCGGTAAGTTTGGGGACCTCTAAGTCCAACCTATATATGACAAGTGTCTCCCGTCTCCTCCGTTTGATAACATCATTACTCCTGGCAGGTCTTGAAGGTGCTGACTGCCGTGGACAGTTGTGATATTCAGGTATCTTCCAGATGTAACACCCTGAATCCAGAGGATGCTCAGGTGATAAAAGAAATCTTCTCCAGTATTGGATCCGCAGCAAGTGGCACCTCCAGCAGTCTTCTCGGGGCCATTCCCAGCGCCATTGTCAAGATGATAAGTGTGGAGGGGTGCGGATGATACATATTGTCTGTGTGTGTATAATATGTGTGAATGTGGACTGGTGGCTTTCCTTCAGTAGGACCTTTCCTCGGTCCCATGTACTACACGTGTCAGTATCGCCCTTCCTCTGTCCCGTGTACTGCACATGTGTCAGTATGACCCTTCCTCTGTCATGTGTACTGCACCTGTGTCAGTATGACCCTTCTTCTGTCCCATGTACTACACAGGTGTCAGTATGGACCTTCCTCTGTCCTGTGTACTACACAGGTGTCATCATGATCCTTCCTCTATCCTGTGTACTGCTCATGTGTCATTATTATCTTTTCTTGGCATATTTTCTGGCAGGTGTTTCTCCTCTGTGTACAATGGTCTCTTGGTCATCCGAAGGCTGATGGAGAATGATAAGGGTTTATTTGAGCAGCTGTCCAGTATGGAGTTGTCCTCCGCCCTCCAGAGCTACTCCGAGGACTCCAGCAATTTTATGACTGAGCCTCAGCGCCAGCTACTGTCTCTGCTGCTGCACTGCCACCTTTCTAGAATGAAAGCGGGAGCATTACAAGGACATGGTAAGAACCATGTACTTTTTCTTGCAGAGAGTGCTCATCTCTGTTCTTTCTCTAGTGGAGAACGCTTGGCTCTGTCCCATCTCTTGCAAAGAGCACTTAGATGTATCCTTCTCTAGCAGAGAGCGCTTGGCTGTGTCCCGTCTCTAGCAGAGAGCGCTTAGCTGTGTCCTGTCTCTCTAGTGGAGAGCGCTTAGCTGTGTCCTGTCTGTAGCGGAGAGCACTTAGCTGTGTTCTGTCTCTCTAGCGGAGAGCGCTTAGCTGTGTCCTGTCTCTAGCGGAGAGTGCTTGGTTGTGTCCCGTCTCTAGCAGAGAGCGCTTAGCTGTGTCCTGTCCGTAGCGGAGAGCGCTTAGCTGTGTCCCGTCTCTAGTGGAGAGCGCTTAGCTGTGTCCTGTCTGTAGCGGAGAGCGCTTAGCTGTGTCCCATCCCTAGCGGAGAGCGCTTAGCTGTGTCCTGTCTCTAGTGGAGAGCGCTTAGCTGTGTCCTGTCTCTAGTGGAGAGCGCTTAGCTGTGTCCTGTCTCTAGCGGAGAGCGCTTAGCTGTGTCCTGTCAGTAGTGGAGAGCGCTTGGCTGTGTCCCGTCTCTAGCGGAGAGCGCTTAGCTGTGTCCCGTCTCTAGCGGAGAGCGCTTAGCTGTGTCACGTCTTTCCTATGTGCTCCAGGTCTGGCAGTCCAGGATATGGATCTCCCGTCTTTGCTGAGTAGTCTGAAGGACATTCGGATGTGTCGGGAAATGCTGCCCGCTCTGGAACGATGTGTTTATGATGGCGTCTCCTCACTACGTTGTGATGTTCCTCAACTTCTCACCGACCCCAACTTCTTCCTGCAGCTCCTCTCCTGTCTGGAACAGCTGAGGGGGGAGAAACATCTGCAGCTCTGTGTGTACAGGTAAGGATGGAGGGCGTACAAGGGATTGTTCCCAATTTACAAGGGGACGTTCTGGCGGAGTGTACAAGGGAATGTTCCTGGTGTACAGTTGAAAAGGGTGGATGTACAAGGGGAGGTTCTCGGTGGACCGTTGAGGATGGTGGTGTACAAGGGGACACTCACAGCTCACAAGGGAACATTCCCGGTATACAGGTGAGAAATGGAGGGGTGTTCAACGGGACATGTTTGGTGAACAGGTGTGGATGGTGGACATACAAGTCAACATTCATGGTGTACAGGTAAGGATGGTGGGTTTATATGGGCATGTTCTCTGTGTACAGGCGAGAAAGGTTGCTGTTCAAATGGACATTTTCAGTGTACAAGTGAGAATGGTAGAAGTTCCCAGTGCACAGGTGAGGATAGTGAATGTAAAAAGTGAACATGGGTATGCAAGGGACTGGTTCTTGGTGCACAGGTTAGGATAGTGTGTGTGTGTGTGTGTGTATGTACATGGGTACGTTCTTGGTGCATTGGTGAGGATGGTGAGCGTACAAGGGGAGTTTGGGGCATTGGTGAGGATGGTGCGCGTACAAGGGGACATTCTTGGTGCATTGGTGAGGATGGTGCATGTACAAGGGGACAATCTTGGTGCATTGGTGAGTATGGTGGGAGTACAAGGAGGCGATCTTGGTGCATTGGGGAAGATGGTGCATGTACAAGGGGACGTTCTGGGTGCATTGGGGAGGATGGTGCATGTACAAGGGGACGTTCTGGGTGCATTGGGGAGGATGGTGCATGTACAAGGGGACGCTCTGGGTGCATTGGGGAGGATGGTGCATGTACAAGGGGACGTTCTGGGTGCACTGGGGAGGATGGTGCATGTACAAGGGGACGTTCTGGGTGCACTGGGGAGGATGGTGCATGTACAAGGGGACGTTCTGGGTGCACTGGGGAGGATGGTGCATGTACAAGGGGACGTTCTGGGTGCACTGGGGAGGATGGTGCATGTACAAGAGGACATTCTTGGTGCATTGGTGAGGATGGTGCATGTGCATTGGGGAGGATAGTAGGCGCTGTGGAGCCTCATAACAAATTTAACAGATATATTTTTGGTTGGTGTAACTGCTGTTACTCTTTACAGAAGTCTGGAATTGATTCTTTCCTCAGGATCCTAAATAAGGCCTTACATTTGTATGAAGAGGACGCCCTTCCCTGGCACAAGTCTATTTCACCGAGCCTGAGAATTCTGGGAGCTTCTGGAGGGGACAGAGAGGTCAGGCTGGATGGAGCAGAGAGAATGCTGGGA